AAGTTTCGTCGACGGCCGCGGTTTTCGTAGCAAACGCGGCAAGATAAATATCGCGGTCAACTCGGCACACATTTCCCGGCGAAACGCGGATCGCGCGAATCATCGGAAGGGCGGTCTATAAATATCGGGCCGGGGGAGAAAAAGAGTGTTCCGCGACCGGACGAGTCACTTGAAACACGATTTAGATCGCGCGGTCTTGTTTTTCCGCGTGAAAAATTACGCGACGTCCTCGCTGCGAGCGTGCTCGTCGCGACGGGCCGGGATGGGTCCCGCAGATACCCGATATTTCCGTTTGATAGCATGCGAGCTCGGACCCGGAAAATTTCGGCGAAACCGCCGCCGCCAAGCCGAATAGCTTTCCACCCAGCCCACCGAAACAAGTTCGAGGCTACGGCATCAATCTTGATAGTATTCGGCTCGGATTCGCGTCGATGAGTAACCCTAAACCGCCAAACAAACTTCTGACCCGTCTCGGATGCCAGCCACTCCCTTTCTTGCTCGCGTTTTAGCGCCCTGTGTAGACCGAGGCTGAAATTGCTCGGTAAAATCACCGGATGGCGGCTTCCTCTGATCGAGTTTCCACGACCTTTGAAATCGAAGGAATCTTGGCACGTGACTCCTTTAATTTACACGCGAGCGAAATCGTATCTACTCGCGGAAATTTCTCTTGATCCGTCGCGTATTTTCTTGGTATTATGGTTATTACGTTCCGTTTATTGCTTTCTTCGAGGACGGTGCCAGTGAAAACAGCAATATCCTGCACATTTGTCAGAGATACTCCACTTGAAAATGCACTTTGTACGGTAGCTGCGAAGCTGAGAGTAAAATAGGATGGCGTCTGGCCAAAGAAATCATTCAGTTTGTTGAAAACAAACAGAACATTCTTTCAGTGAATGAATCCACAATGCTAGTAGAATGAGACGTTTACTGGTTAGACATGTTTTTGAAGACTAGAAGAAAAGTGTGATCAAGATAAGAATTCCGACTAATATTTTATTTGATATAGCACTGATTTGTTTCTAGATTCAGACAGTAGATTAAGACGACTATTAATCAGACGAGTGTCAACGCAATTGAGAGAACAAATTACTATGTATAAATTGCTTCTCTCACCAGTTAATGTAGCTTTACGATCAGAGAAGACGAGCAAACGGCCTTTAAATTTCTATATTTCTATATAAATTAAATTCATTATATATTTCTATATAAATAGATTTCAACAGAATATTTCTATCTCCGGACCTGTGCTATTACAATAACGATACCATTATCGTCGAATCGTTGAATGGGAAACAAATCAGGGACCAAGTGTAATGCGTTCGCCTTTGACCCTGTAACTCTGTTAACATCGAATTGGATTCGGAGTCAGTATATTACTAAAGATTTAACGGGGACATAAATTGCGAACCGGGTAGAATGTGCCTGCCTTTGATCGGACCATTTCCATAGTAAATTCCACTATCACTAAATTACATACCTACACGACGCGGTTCGCATGGTAAGCAACGAGAAATAAACGACGAGCTAAGTAGAACGCGGCACGCCTTTGATCAGACGGGATCTACTTTGATCTATTTCGCAGGTAATTGTTTAATTTTCGGAACGTCCGCCGAATTGATTCGCCTCCGTTAATGAAAAACGACCGGTTAGTACACCGGCTTCCCGGTGTAAGAGATCAGATTGTAATTTATAGGAGGTGTTTATTGGGCCGCGTGCAAACTTTTTAATGCACCTGTTGATATATGCGCTGGCACGCCGGGAGTAAATCCTGGTAGCTTTGTCAAAGCACGTTCCGCAACGGAGCAAATCCTCCCCCGCCCGGACAATCGCGTGAAATGTCAAACGTGACTGGCGAACACGCAAAACGCGTTCCTTTGAGCGAGACACGACGACGACCACGACGTCGCCCGATCGATTTAATATCGAGCCGTGCTACTTAGAAATTGCTGGTCGCTACTGGAATCGAAAACACGGAACGTTAGGGGAACTTCCTGAAAATTAGAGACACGAACGCTAAAATATGAACCGATCGATCTCGAATACGTACGTCGCTCGCCGAGCCAATAAACTGCCACGTGGCACGCGGCCGAACTCGAAGTCGCGGCAAATTCGTTTAATTAATCGAGTCTTAGTCGCGGCGCTGATGCAGCGGAAAAATAAGCCAGGCCGTCGCGAGGATCTTCCGTTTACACGTGCAACACGTGCAAGGAGGCGAAGTGGGTCACGTGCGGCAATCAGTTTAGTCCTTCTAATTGAACGCACAGTACCTTCAAATTAGCTGCGAAATTAATGCCGCGTCAAACCTCAGGCGTCACCTGTTTCTGCGGCTAATTGCGAGCATAAATTATGTATCGCGTTGCTCGCCGAAGAATCCCGGATATTTCTGTGGTTGCAAGGAGGAATGTGTCAGATGTTTCCACATCCGAGATACCGTCGCTTAAAGTACGATTCGCTAATGTAATTAGTTTGTGTTTCGAATTGCATCATTTTCTCGAGTCTTTTGAATTTGCTTTCACGATGTTTTTTTCTGATTAATACCGTAAATCCTATATGCTATAAATCGATTTATGCATTTACACAAATATTTTGAAATTGCGACTCGCGGTGTTCTTTTCTTATAGCCACCTTTTACCAAAAATATGACCAAAGTGCAATTTTTGAACCGTATATGACAACAAAAGGTTGCTACGGTAATAGATACAGTGAATCGCGAAGTATTCAAAACGGAATGACTTTTTTCAAATTGAACCAGATCTGTTCTTTCGTGACGTGAGCGTCGACCGAGATAAGGAAACGCATTGTTTAAAGTTTCGTTGTAGCTTCAGATAAAAAAGTTGAAAGACGCGACCTTTTTATTTTCTCTTGTAATTCCAAGCGGTTGAAATTAAAAGAAAAATGTTTGCATGCTTTGTTCAGTTAATTGGTCTCTCTGTCATCGCCAAGAGATCGATTTTGAATTGAATATCTGATATCTGGAGTGATTAACAGGCTTTCAATAAATAAATTCTCAAGATCGACATTATATTACAGCGAAGTATCGGAAATGATATTCTCCTAAAAATAAGTCAAAAACAGCGCTCGTGTCAGTGATTCTGATATTAAATCCTAAATTTTTCATAATCAAGTTCAACAATTTCGAAATCACAAGAGCGCCCCTTTTCATCAAAATGGTACGAAGTTCCGAATTGTGGCCAACTTTTTCGAGAAAAGCTATCACCGTGTTTCCACGTGGAATTATCGAACCTTCTACTTGTCCCCCTTCGACCCGGAGCGGGGAGTACAGTCAACGACGCAGAAACGTTTGCTAAAGGCGCGGGGGGGTGAGGGAGTGGGTCCTCGTCTGAAACGAGGGGCTCGATGACAGACGGAACACGAGCACGTGTCACCGAAACCCAAGGTTCGTCTGTACTTCTGATGGATTGTTAAATTGTTTATATTGTGCGACTGGCGATGGCGAAAAAGACGACGGGGCTGATCGATAATCAATCCGGAAAATTGCGGAGCCAGACTGGCTCGGCTATGGGTCACGGCTGACTGCGGAATTTCACATGATGGCCAAACACATAATCGACGTTGTAAAACATCGTCGAAAATTTTGGCGAATTTGTTCGCCAAGAACTTCGTCGAATTGAATAGAATCTTGACTTTATTTCTGTCCGCATTTACTCTCATTCATAGACTTCATTTATTTTTATTTTCCTAGATTTCGTTTATGTCACTATTTACTTTTATTTTCCTAAACTTCGTTTACGTCACTATTTACTTTCATTCCTAGACTCCATTTATGTCCTCATTTACTTTCATTCCTAGACTTCATTTACGTCTTCATTTACTTTCATTGCTAGACTTCATTTACGTCTTCATTTACTTTCATTCCATATACTCTATTTATGTCACCATTTACTTTCATTCCTAGACTCTACTTATGTCTTCATTTACTTTCATTCCTAGACTCCATTTACGTCACTATCTACTTTCGTTCCTAGACTACGTTTATTCATCATTACTATTCATCATTTACTTTCATTCCTAGACTTTGACGATAGAAGAATCAAGCTTTGACTCGATTTAGAAGAAATGAATGGACACATTCGCATTTAGCAGATCATGCGCGAAATCTCAATTTAGAGAAGACACTGAAGCTTCAAACGTCTCTCTGTGAAGATCTAACATAAACCCAAATCTGATACAAATCAATATAAGCACAGTATAAAGACTAATAGGATGCTTGATAATTATACCGTACTAAATACAAATCTCAAAGGATCTACTAGTAGTACGTAGCTCTTTTATAAACGAAATTGCTACGCCGATAGGACAATTCATCGATTTCCAGGCAGATAGAACAAAGGTCGCGAAATTTTTCGAAATCATGAAGGACAACATCAGGGGGTCCCAAGGTTTGTAGAAGCGAGTTCTAGAAGCCCACGCGTTTCCGGGCGAGCAGAAGTGGTCTAGCGCGAGCAAAATAATGAAAGCCAAACAGAGAGACGTTAAATGTCCATCGCTCGTGTCCCGGGGACGATTGAAAAATAATATTCGCCGAACGTCGTCCCGTGCTCGCCGTGACGTTGTCGTTCGCACGGTAAACAACGGGTGCCCGAGTGGGTGACTAACAAGTCACTGACACTGTTGCGCGAAATTACATGCTATTTATACACGTGTGAACGAGAGGTCCTCGGAGACTTTCGAGCGTTCGCGGAGGAGGAAAGAAAACGGAATGATGGTGGTCGGCGTGGTGAATGGCGTGGCAGCAGCTGATCGATCGAGAGTTCGGAAACAGAGGATCGGATCGAGGCTGTCGCCAGCCATCGGCTCTATTGATCGGCAATGTGAACGCACACCAGCGCGCGGGGCGGCGTAGAGGCACACGCGAGGAGGGTGCGTTTTCCTTCGCCGGACAAAGCACGCAGATCGCGGAGATTTTTTTTGGCGGAGCTTGCCACGACGGCGGGAGGGGCGCGGGCCGATATTATCGTCGGAATAATGCGGTTACTCACGGAATTTGTTGTTTCCGGTCGCCTCGATGACGCGGTGTTCTTCCTTCCTTGAAATCCGGCTGGTCAGCTTCGCGAAGACTTGCACGGGGTGTCGGTGTTAGACGGCCATGTTGTTGGATATCCAACGCCCTCTGGTCGATGCTCGGCGAAGTCCTGATCCCTACCCTCCTCTCTCTGGTGCTCTTCACCCCTTCGTTTCCCACCCTTCCGACGGCGTTCCTCGTGTCACACTTTCCCGAGTTCAAGCATCCATGGACATCTCGCGACCACGGCGCCCTTTAACCCTGCAGACACATTAAAAATAGGACATCGGAGTCTACGAGCTGCGCGCATCTCGTTTATATCGGTCGGAAAATATTTAAACGATTCCGTTGCGGTTTTGTGCCAGTTTTGATTTCGTCCGATGATTGAAATCGGGAAAGTATTTTTTGATATTCTTGGTCCGGGGAGAATCGAACGTGCGTCGTGGAGATTATTTACGATGAAAGAAAAATATTGCATCGTTTCGTCGATCTTAGAGAACAGATCTACAATTTCAGCAGAATATTCGTGCTATTGACCAGAGCAGCATGACCCGAATACTATTTTCTTAGTTATCGACGTTGCGTGCGTTGTGTTTGCTTTTTTTTTTATTATCGATGAGATACTTACCGTGGTAAGAATATTAGAAACACAGCGGAATGCGCCAGCCTTTGATCAGACCGCTGGCAACCCCAATAGTAATTTTATTATCATCGTCGAGTAGTGCACCGTTTTTTTCTGCAATCAATATATCGCAGCAGATAAAATCGCGGGCAATAAAATCACAGGCAATAAAATTGAAGCCGAGTATAAATTGAATTCTAATACGACAGTGAATTAAATACGAACGCTTTTCATTATTAATAAATCCTCGAATGAACACGAACGTCTCAGTTCAATGAAATGGATTTCATGAAATTTGTATAACGTAGAAAAAGAATCGGCGGGAACAATTTTATTTGGAAACAAACAATAGCGTTTTACGATTTCCAACGTGCGCGAAACATTTTATCCGGCACGTTGATTCGAAAACGTTGATTTGAATCCACCAATCTACCCTTTTTTTCCCGGGAACTGCCACCATTTGTTGTGCTCCGCGTTAACGTTCTATTTTGCACGTTACTTTGCAACAATCTGAACCGGGGACTGTCGTCTCTATCTACACGGTACGTATGTTAATGTATGTACATGTGTTTAACCTTTTCACCGCTAATGGGACACGCGCGACCCATGCAGTTTTAAAGAATTACTAATGGAAATACTACGGATTTACATTTTAACAAACACGAACAACACGGTCCGCTAATGACGGGCGTGCCTCGCACGTGGAATTTCAGATATTAATGCGGGACCATTTTTTATCGACGAAATACAGGGCGTCCCAGAATTATTGTACAAGCCGGGAACGAGGGGTTCCTGATGTTATTTGAAGTAACTTTTTCCTTAGCGGAAATGTAATCCGCGGCTTTGATTACGAGTTATTAACGAAAAACGCTGACCAATGAGAGGCAAGATCAGCTAACGCAAGGCGGCTGAGCCATCGAGCGATCGAAGCCCAGTTCCGCTGATTGGCTCCGCCGCGACGCGCCGCCTCGCGCCAGCTAATCTCGCCTCTCATTGGTCAGCGTTTTTCGTTAATAACTCGTAAACAAAGCAACGGATCGTATTTGCGCTAAGGAAAAAGTTACTTCAAATGACCTCAGGAACCCCTGATTTCCCGCTTGCACAATAATTTTGGTACATCTTGTATAGCGTTCCAGCGACACCGAGCCTGATTAATCGAAACGAGAAGCGTACTACCTGGACGATTTATATATTCAATAAAACGGAAAATAAAGTGGAAAGTCAACTATATACATCATGGTCAGACCTTTTGCTTCTCCAACTCGTAGAAATCCATCGGAAAGTCTCGTTCTCTCTGTGTGCACGCCGGGTAACGCATTTCCCAAGCCGGAGAAGCGAAAAATAATTTCGATCTAGACAACGTTATTCTGTGGAGCCGCGGGATTATATCTTTATGCAGATCATCTAACGCAAAGGATGGAATATTTAAAGGACCTCGTAGAGACTGTCCGTGGATCTGCATTATATATTGAACCCGTAACTTCCGGAATATTCAGCAGCGTTTAAATTATGCGCTTTCAAAGGACGCTCCGTCGCTCTCCTTCTTGTTTTCCCGTCCGAGTTTTCTTCGGGCGCCGCGGATGGAAAATCACAAGACATCTCCCCCCCCCGCCCTACACCCTCGCCTTAACTACCCTTACCCGACGTGTCAATGAATACGTGCTTTCAATTAAAAACTCGCGCGGTTTTAATTAAAAAGAGGACGGAAAGCAGGATGGGGAAAATAGTGGAAACAAGATAAAACCACGTCGCTTATTTCGAAATGAATTAATACGCGGACACCGGGGGGTTGTTCCCTGGCCCCGACATCTTTAGAACGTTAGCAAATAGCCTCCGAGACCTGGTCGTCGTCGACGCCGTCGTCACCGCCGACCAACGGAAACTTGGAACCGGTCTCTTCTTGCGCCGGAGTGCCGCATTAGATCACCGGCAACTTGAATGGAATCCTCGAGCGAGGAAAAACAAATGGCCAGCAAGATACCGAGACAATTCCGCCCTGTTAATCTTTCGATAGACAAATCATTTTCGAGCCTCGTCCTCTCGCGACAATTTTTCCGCTTCAAGCGTCATCTTTTTTTCGTCAACGGACTTCTATCCGGCCGAAGGAAGAGCAATTTTTCAGAAACAGAAGCAACCGGTTCTTTTTTTCTCATTCCAGCCTTTTAAACGCAGATATATGCGGAGTCATTTAGTTCTGTTGGAATTATTAATCATTTGCAAGTCACGATCTTTTTCACGGCTACATTGATTAGGTTTCTTCTTCGGTTTCCTACAAAAAAAAAGAAAATTTATATATAAATATATATATTGTATGTCTGCGTTAATTTTTTTTTTAGTTTCTGATGTTTATCTTATTTGTTTCTTATTTCTTTATTCTTATTTATTTCTTATTCAATTTTTAATTATTCTTCTTCTTCTATATTTATAATTTCTAAAATTTCGAACAACGTGAATAAGTAGAGAACATTGTGCAGTAAAAAGTGTGTACTGTTTAACAACTGAATATTTTTATTATAACGCGATATTTTAGAAAACTAAATATTCCGAACAGAAAGCAGAATAAAAGTTTTTTAATCAGAATGACTAAGTGCATCGCAGCGCCATCGTGGTCACTGGTGACCATTAGCGAAATAAACACATATAGGATAGGAGATAGGAGTATGATCATCATTTCATCATATTATATCATTACATTATTTTACCATTATATACTTGCAACAATGGAAGTTATACTGTGGCTCCCTGAGCGCACCCTACAGCTGCCATTTCGACGGTTTTCGCAAAAATGAAAATATTCGATCGTCAATACTTCGACAATACGTTAAAAACCGAAATAAATAACATTTAAAACAAAAAACTAACTAACTAAATAAAATAAAAATAAATAACATTTAAAACAAAAATGTAACGCTGTTTTTCAATAATTCGTACCAACATAAAGTAAGCCGCGACAATTTATATCGTTCAAATGTTTCTCCGCTGTCCTTTTAAACTATGATTAATTTTCGAACGCGTCAAAGTGTCCCAACCCCTTGAACAAGAACACGATCCACCCCGCGGCCCGATCGACGTCCATTACATACCCGAAATCCGGCGCACGAGGCGAATGCCGAAGTCCTCGCCGGTTGATACTTATGTATAATTAATTCTGGCATGCAGCACGTACACGCCACTCAGAAAAATTCTTGCCGGAGAGCGCCAGAGGGGGTGTACCGGGGTCGGAGGTACGGCAGGGGTGGATGGTTGCGCGCGACACTCGGCAACCCGTTCCGGCAGCAACGAGTAGCAGTCGGAAGACTTTTCGGCGGATTCCTATCCGTCCAGAGCGAGAGGGCGGTCGAGTGGCCGGATGTGGTTGCTCTCGAGTGCCCTTCCGGGGTTGTTATAATTAATACGACCCCATCGATCTCGGGGCCGTGGCTTTATCGCGGGCCGGAGTGCTACTTTCCCGGCGCGGCGCGGTGGCTCGCCTCGGAGCCGCGGAACCGCCGCGTTTCCGCGTGGTCCGCGGAATTTCCGGCGATCGTTCGCGCCCTGTCACCCCCTCCCCGCGCCGGCCCCTCTGCCGTCGGAAAGGTCAATGGGCCGGTGTGTTCGAGAGCCGCGGAAATCTGGGCCAACGGGCGCAGAGGGCCGCGGACACAGACGGCCGCCGTGTGTACCGAATTCATACATTAATTCCGAGGGTAATCGAGCCGATGATGGCTCCTGAAACGCGTCGAGTCAGGCCTCGCTCGTTAGCGACCCCCTGGGGCTCCGACCACCTTTTCCCGCTGCTAATCCGCGCCGTCTTTTTCACCCCTCGCTGTCAGATCGCTATCGACACCGCAGGTAACGCGAGCTGCCCCGTCCGATCGGGCGCAGATGGCGCGTTCCGGATTTTGTTGATTTTCGACGGTCCGGCGACGTGTTATCGCTACAATTTGCAGTTTGTACGAACGATAATAATTCATCTGCGGATTGAACGTATTTTTGCGGAATTTTGAAACGCTCGACCGCGGATCACGTTTGCGAAACGAAGATATTGTTATTTTATCCGCGTTGAAGTAATATCTTCTCGGATGGAAACGAAACTTTCTCGGATACGTAGATCCTTCGAGATCACTGGGAAAAAATCGCAACTTCGTTTCTTCGACAGTATCAGAGATATAAATGCGAAAGTGAAGGTGATTTTCGTGAGAATCAGCAGAAATTGGACACTTCGAGGGCTTGTAACTCTTAGACCATTTTGAAATTAGGAAAATTATTACTCAAACCTAATTGCATATGCACTATAAAGTATTTCAGTATCACCAAAATCTTAGACTCGACTCTGACATCGAGTTACAGAAGTGATCCGTTTGGCATCGAATGATCCATACTCGTATCAAAATCCGAAGCGTAATTGTTATAATTTCATGAAAAAATTCGCACTACAATGAAATTAGACTTATTTTAAAGCTTCGAGCTTCTACTTTCGCAGCCCATTATTCATTTTCCAAACAGGCTTCTTCGTAAGATATGGCAAAAG